TCTGAAATTAAACCTTAACTAAAAGCAGTTATGGTGGGCAGTTGACGTCTTCACAGATAAGGTCAACCTTTACTGTAACTGAGCCTATCTGTGTTTTTACATCTATGATAACATGTCCTTGGGATGTCTGGGTAACTTGTGACTTCCCTTTTTATGGAGCCCTTGGGGCACAACCAGGTGTGCTGAGCCCAGGACAGATGCAGCAGATTCTTTAATTTATCATGTTAATTGTTCCTGCACCCACCTAAGTATGTGTCCATCATTTTACTTTTTATCCTATCACAGAGGTTTCCCCACTTCGCTTAATCCCACCTCCTTAAATCTGTCAACAATGAATTTCATGTATAAATACGGATGTAACCCTGCCATTCTCGGGAGCACTATCTCAATTCATTGAGGTTCTGCTACCCGGCATAGGTCGAGAGTTTGGCTCAAATAAACTCACAAAAATTCTTTACAGGTTTCAATGGTTTTTTTACATTAACAAGATTTTCTCCTTATATATTTCTGAGTTTCTTTGTTACCTAACTACCAAACTTCTGTGGTGGACTCTCCCAACCCCCACCCCCTGGAGAGTCAGTTAGATGGTTACTTTAGATTGTATCTAATGTCCATCCTGGATGGTGCCAGTGACCTCCCTCTAGTTAAGCTGTTACATCCTTGGTTTAGGCCCTTGTAAATTGGGAGTATTTAGGTAAGTGGCTCCTTCGGGACCAGATAATTAAGGAAGGGGTAGTGACTTCAGGAATGTGGATTAGGGACATTGATTACTTAGGTACAGAGTCCACTGCTAGTCTCCTGCATTCTTTCACAAATGGAGTTAATTATCTGCTAGCAAGAGAGTGCAGTAGAAAGCAGGGCACTGGAACAAATTCAGATTGCTAGCCCCAAAAATGTCTTATGCTCCCCATCACAAGTGGCATAGCCAGGGCTCAGAGAGGTTAGGGCGCTCACCCTAGGCAGCGCAGCAGGCCAGCGCCGCCACTCTCCAGAGCCAAGGCAAGGGATTCGGGATTCAGGCTTCACTCAAAAACAGAAGGTGTGCAGGGACCTGGGAGGGAACGCCTCCAGGTCCTCCTCTCTCTGTCTGGTCTCGGATCCTTAGGATCCTTAGCCCTCGGTGACCTTGGCCCTGCGTACTCAGTCCATTGCCAGCCACATCCTTCCAGCCCTTTCCCTGAGGCCAGTTCAGCCATGTCTATGCTGAAAGGAACCAGAGCTCAGAGGAGAGCTAGCTCAGCCCCAGGGGCCTTAGTTGGAGGTGGAGGGATCCGCCTTCCTGAAGCAGGATTTCTCAGTACACTAGCTCTGCCCTTAGGGCCCAGCCCCTCCCTTAGCCTTCCTGGGTTCTCTGTGTCTGTCTCACCCTGTGCTTCTCTCTCCCTGTTCCTTGCTCTCTAGTCCTGTTTACTCATTCCCCTGTCTCACTTGGCCTTTTGTCTCTGTCTCTCATCGGATCTCTGCCTGTGGAGAATATCCCTGCTGCCCCCACAAAGGAACACACACCCGCAGGATCTGTCTTTTCAATAACAAACGACAAGTGGGAAACAGAGTGAATTAAAAAGCATCAACTTAAAAACAATCCATGTGTCTGCAAATGGGTTCCAAATGGCCGCACTTCCATGGGGGTGGCAGGGGCAGGGCGTGTTGGCCACATGTTCTGGAGCCTCAAACACAAAGTGTAGGGGGCTCAGCACCTCACTATGGACCCCTCCCACTAGCCACCTGGCATGGCAGGGTCTGGGGAAGGGACTTAGTCTATAGAACTAACCTGTAGGTATATTTAATCTGTATACATAAAAAATAGTTAAGATGGTAGATGTTATGTTGTCTTTTAACTATAATTAAACAGAAAAAAAAGGGTAAATAATAATGCAATAATAAACTTAACAAATAAAACCCTGAAAAGGGTTTTAAATAAGTAGAGCAATGAACCATACACCAAATGAAAGAAATTAGCTTAAGATAGTATCTATAAATCAGTTTATATTTGCTTATCATATCCAATATAATCCCAATTCTGGAGGAATGACATGAAGTGCCCCTAATTTTCACTGAGAAGACTGGTTGGTAAGAGGAGCCAAAACGATGCACTGGGAAATAATGTACTCTACTATTAAAACAAATTATAAATAATAGTCATTTAAAGTGCTGTACTGAGTTTACTAGAATAGACAACAGAACAGAATAGGTGGTTAAGAAATTTAAATATGAATAAGAACAACTGTCAGGCCATTTTTTCCTCTTAAAATAAACTTCAATCTATTTGCTCTCATTGACCTCAAAATAAATATCACAAGGATAAAATTTTAAATGTTACCATTTGAGATTTGGAGACTTGCTACTTCAGTAACGAGGGCTCCTCCTTCCCTCTCTCATTCATTCATTTGCTTTTATTATTTGGGTGCAAGTCAGTGTCACCCACCAGATTAAATCATTTTTAGGACAATGACTATGTGTAATTAATCTTCATCCACCCCTGAGCACCTAGCACAGCGCTGTGCACACAGCACATACACTCTCTATACGCACGTGCTGCTGATTATTGGTCCTGCCTCCATTGTCTATGAGACTCAGGGACCCCAGGTGAAGCAATGACTTCCTGCTGCTGAGTGCCCTAGATCATCCTGCATGGAGGGCGTCATGTGAAAAGCAGCTGAGTGTGAAAACACCCGACACCTGAAATTCAGAGTCTGTCCGAACAGCCTTTGACACCCTAAGCACATAAACACACATGAATTTTAATGTAATAATACAACATGCAAATTAATTGGATCTGTGACTATCTTTTGGAATAATACAAGTATTCTAGAGACTGCACTCCAAGTACACTGGAAAGAGAGGAAATATACCTTTCTCTTCCCAGCATTTACAAGAAAAAGTCCCTAAATGGTTTTCAAACAGCCTCACACGCAAAAAAAAAAAAAAAAAAAAAAAAAAAGAAAGCAGGAAAACTGCACAGAATTCATATTCTAAACAGAAAGGAGCTGTTTTCTTGACATCTAGTCTATTTCTGAGAAACTATGAGCTTGTTCCTGCTTCCACTTACAAAGGACGTGTGTTCAATACAAATACTTTCCATTTGTCCTTAATTGACACAAGATAACCCTCACTTGTGAGAAAAACAAGAGCCAGCGATTTGTAATTCATAAAAGGGCTGATCAGACTGTCCTAGGCAGTGAGGATAAAGGGAGACTCACAGCACCAGTACTTCAGTCCACATTTGCAAACACAGAGCCATGGATGAACCTAATTTGACCTTCCTCTTAACACACTGGCTCAGCATTTGAAGAAATCTCAAATCATTCACCAGGGCCTTGTGACCCAATGAACTGCTATGAACAAACCATTAAACAGCCCGGTGGGTATGGCTCAGTGATTGAGCTTCAGCCTTTGAACTGGGAGGTAATGGTTTGATTCTGGTCAGGGCACATGCCCCTACAGGTAGGGGTCATAGGGGAGGTAGCCAATCAATGATTTCTTTCATCATTGATGTTTTTCTCTCTCCCTCTCCCTTCTTCTCTGAAACAAATAAAAAAATATATATTTTTAAAAAATACATTAAATATTTTAAACTGTACTTAGTGCTGTGTAAAATGCAAGCAATAGGAAGGTGAGAGTCACCTCCAGTTCTCACGACAACCGGACCAACCAAGCGGCTCCAGGCTCCCGGTATCAGCGCCAGGCAGACTCCAGCTTCTCTCTGTGGCACCTCCTTCAGTGTTGGCTACAAGTTCCGCAGGCCTTGCTTGTCCTTGTCTGTAAGCTCACTGCAGACTTCCGGGAGGATGTGGACCCCTCAAGGTCAACCTGGGGGAGGGAGCTTATGGCAAGGATGACTATCAGCCCTGGGTTTTGCCTGTAGTGAGGAAGGTGGAGCAGAAGATTGCTAAGGACAGTAACCTAAACCACCAGAGTTTCTGCAGACCCTGGGCCTCCGGGAGTTCTGAACCCATGCTTCCTGCCTTGCCCTTGGGGAGGACAACACAGCAATCCTGTAGAAGCGGGTAGGAGGTGTGCAGTGTTTGGGGGGAGCGGGTGCACTTTGAATCAGAGCCCCGTTTTTAGCGCGATGGTACAATGGGACAAACAAGGACACACCTGTCTAGGTATCTTCACCAACCTGGGAGAATAACGATGCTGTGTTTACTGCCGCTGGATTTAAAGACATCTGGTCTTATCACTATTGGGATGCAGCGAAGAGGACTGGACCTCCGGGGTTTCCTGAAGGATCAGGAGAGGCTCCAGAGTGTTTCATCTTTGTCCTCCATGCTCCGGCACACAACCCACTGGAACCCTCATTTGTGCACTATGTGCTGCTTGGCTCTGCACAAAGTCTAGTCCCAAAGATCAAGTTATCTGAAGAGCTACGTGTAATTGTGGGTGTTGGCTGTGTTAATAAAACATCCTCTCTATCAAAAAGAAAGAAGAAAGAAAGAAAGAAAGAAAGAAAGAAAGAAAGAAAGAAAGAAAGAAAGAAAGAAAGAAAGAAAGAAAGAGGCAAGTAATGATACCTACATAACACACGTGCTTAGGAATAAATTAAGTTTAATTAGTAACACCTGTAAAGAATTTAGAACCATAGTGGTGCTTACATTTGATAGGCAGTTGGTGATTGTGACACCAAGGAGCCAGCACACATGGGGTTTGGACCAACACACTGCTCAGCCAAAGGAAGTGCTAAACCATTTAGCAGCTAAACCATTGCTGCATTTTACTATTATTTTTGTCCTTCTCTTCCTTATTCATTTTACTGAGCTGAATAAAATTAAATTGAATTCATTTGTGCAAGTGTTCAAAAAGAAATTGATGATGCATCAAAAGAAGACATGCTGATAACAATCGGTGACTAGAATGCACAAGTAGGAAATAAAGTAGAATCAAATGTCATTGGAAATTTTGGACTGAGGGTCAGAAACAAAGCAGGAAAACAGCTCAGGAAGTTCTGTGAGACAAACAACTTGTCCTTCACAGACACATGCTTCACACAACCAGTCAGCTGTCTGCATGGACATCAGCAGGTGGCCAATATAGACGGAAATGGACTATGTAATTAGCAGCAGAAGATGGAGAAGCTGTAGTCTCTCTTCCAGGTAAATTTGTAAGGAAATACCCAGTAGATTATTGTGGATTCTGTAACTAACTCTCAAACAGTTCAGACACAGAAAGAAAGTATGTGGTAAAATAACATTAAGGGAATTTTGTATCTTTGACCAAGTCTGTGAGGAATGGGTATGAATTCTTTGAAAGTTTGGTAGGAATCACCAGTGAAGCCATTTGGGCCTGAGCTTTTCTTGGTGGCAGTTTCCAACCTCTTTACTTGGTACAAGTCTATTCAGATGGGCTATTTCTTCTTGAGAAACTTTCAGTAGTTTGTGTCCTTCTAGGAATTTGTCCATTTTTATATCTATTTTGTTGCCATACAGTTGTTCATAGTATTGCCTTATAATCATTTTTATTTCAGCAATGTCCCCTCTTTCATTTCTGATTTTAGTAATTTGAGTCTCCTTTCTTTTCTTCTTGGCCAGTTTAGCTAAAAGTTTGTCAAAATTGCTGATCTTTTCAAAGATGCAGCTTTTGCTTTCACTGATCCCCCCCCCCACACACACACACATTATTTAGTGCACTAATATCATAACATTCACACACATAAGTCTCTATTTTTTCTTTCTGCCCACTTTGGATTTAGTTTGCTTTTATGTTACAGTGTCCTAAAATGAAAGGATTTTAATTTGAGATTTGTTGTTTGCTTAGTGGTGACACAGAGTGTATATATATATATATATATATATATATATATATATACACACACATGTATATATATAAATTTATCAGAACATATTTGAGTCTGTTCTCTGTATCTATGATTCTGTTTCTATTTTGTTTGTTAGTTTATTTTGTTCATTAGTTTCCACATATAAGTTTATTATATGGTATTTGTCTTCCCCTGAGAGGCTTAGTTCACTTAGCATAATACTCTCCAGGACCTCAGAGGGGAGGAGGATTGAGAGATTTGGTGCAAGAGGTGAAGAGATTAATGCAAAAAACACAAAAATTCATATATACAGACAACAGTATGTTGATTACCAGAGGCAAAGGTGGGTAGAAAGGTAGAAGAGAGAAAAGGATAAATGGTGATGAAAGACTTGACTTTGGGTGGTGAACATACAATACAATATACAAATGATCTATTATATAACTGTGTACTTGAAACCAATATAATTTTATTAACCAATGTCACTCAAATAAATTTAATAAATTAAAAAGAAAAATAATAGACCTCAAATGTATGCTATGTTTTTTTCCAATGGAATACAGAATAGTTACTTCTATAACTCTATTCCTTCTTACCTCCATTTAGTGCTATTAATTTTACATAAATATTACACATTATATCTATACTAGAGGACCGGTGCACAAAAATTTGCCCATCCTTTGCCCTCTCTCATTCTGGGACCCCTTGGGGGATATCCACCTGCTGGCTTAGGCCCACTCCCTGGGGGATCGGGCCTAAGCTGGCAGTCAGACATCCCTCTGGCAGCCTGAGACCCCTTGCGGAATGTCCACTTGCCAGTGGAAAGCAGGCCTAAGCTGCAGTCAGAGATCCTTAGCACTGCTGAGGAGGCGGGAGAAGCTCCCGCCATCACCGCTGTACTGGCAGCTGTCAGCTTGGCTTCTGGTTGAGCAGAGCTCCCCATGTAGGAGTGCACTGACCACCAGGGGGCAACTCCTGCATTGAGTGTCTGCCCCGTGGTGGTCAGTGTGTGTCATAGTGACCAGTCATTCTGCTGTTAGGGTCAATTTGCATATTACCCTTTTATTATATAGGATAGAGCCCTGGTGCATGGGTGGGGGCCGGCTGGTTTTCCCTGAAGTGTGTCCCAGATTCGGGTGGGGGTCCTGCTGGGGTGCCTGGCCAGCTTGTGTGAGGGGCTGGTGGCTGTTTTCAGGCTGGCCAAGTGTCCCAGCAGGGACCCTCACCCCATGGGGGTGTGGCCAGCCTGGGTGAGAGACTGAGGGCTCTTTTCAGGCTGGCCACACCCCCTTCAGTGTGGAGTTCTCTGTTGTGGTGCCGTTCAGCCTGGGTGAAGGGCTGATGGCCGTTTTCAGGCTGGCCAAGCTCCTCAACAATCCAAGCACCCAGCCTCTCTCTTTTTTTTCCAGCGCCTCCTTGAGCAGAGGCCAGAGCGGGCTGGAAGCAGATATCTGAGATTTATTTATCTTCCATAATTGAAACTTTGTAGCCTTGAGGGGAGACCAGTCCCACTTGGAAGCCTGGGTTGCCCCTGACATCCCAGGCTGTCAGTCCTTCCTTGAGTAGCCATGACTGGCTGGATGCAGGTATCTGGGATTTATTTATATTCTATAATTGAAACTTTGTAATGTTGAGCAGAGCTGAGGGCCGGTCAGGGCAGGTGGGAAGCTTGGCTTCCTCCATCGCTAGGGACAACCCAAGCCTCCTGCTCGCTCCAGCTCCATGGCCACTGCAATCTTAGTTGGGTTAATTTGCATACTCGCTCCTGATTGGCTGGTAGGCATGGCTTGTGGATGTAGCAGAGTAATGGAGTGATGGTTAATTTGCATCTTTCTCTTTTATTAGTGTATACTAGAGGCCTGGTGCACAAAGGTCATGCACGGGTCCAGTCCCTAGGCCTGGCTGGTGATCAAAGCATGAGCTTCTGGCATTGAAGGGTAGGTCCCAGCTGACCTCTGGGCCCTGGGCAGCACCTGGGCAGCATCTGGACCCCCGGGCCCCCACACACCCGTCTCCACCTGAGTCAAGGCGCCCGAGTCCCCACACAGAAATGCAGTGAGTGCAGCTGGATGCCATGGGCCAGAGTACAATGTGGGCCTCTGCGCTCTCTCCCAGCTGGCCTCGCAGACCACCTCTTGCGTGAACCTACAGAAGGCCCAATCAGCCCCTAAGGTCCTGGCTTCTGCAGTCTGACTCCCCTGGAATAGGCCGTGTGAGTGCTGGGCAGGTTTCTAGCAGGCGCCCAGCACCTGAGGACAGGGGCTTCCCTGGCATGCGAGCACTGGCACCCCCGGGGAGGGTAGCAACGGGAGCAAGAGCGAGCTTGGCAGACACTGCACATTCTCACAGCACCTCTGTCCCCATTACCCCCGCACCCAGGTAGCCTGCAAGAGGTCACAGCCCCTTGCCCGGGTGCCACAGGAGAATGATCACTGCTACCCAACCCCAGTTCCCCATCTTAACCCAAAGCCTGGCCTCAATCGGGTGGTAAGGGCATGCCAGCCGCTGGTCACTGTCTGCGGGGTGATGGGTCAGATCCAGGCCCTGTGCCTGTCTCCCTCAGCGACTGGGTGCCGGGCAGCCATTGCTTCTGCTGGTGGCCATCTGCAGGGCAATCGGCAGAGTGATCGGGCCCCCACTCACACCCGCCTTGCATGGTGCTGCCCACTCACCTGCTCCACCATCCTGCCGCAGTCCCACTCTCATAGTGGCCCATCAGGGTTGGCAGAGCCTCCATTGCTGCCCCGCTGGCAGTGCTGCATCACCGACACCCACCATGTTCCACCCCCTGGTGGTCAGCACATGTCATAGGGACCAGTTGAACTCCCAGTTGAGAGGACAATTTGCATATTAAATTTTTATTATATAGGGCTAGTGGCCCAGTGCACAGATTCGTGCACATTGAAAGGAAATGAATTAGAAGGTGGTCGTCTGTGTGGGACTGGGTGAGACAGGCTGGACATGCCCTGGAGCCAACCTCCCAAGGTCCCTCCCCAGCCGCCACACCTGGGCAGGTGCTGGGGCTCAAAGGGCATCTGCAAAGTGAGTGGGGTTTCTCTGGCAGGTGGAGTCCCTCAGCCTGGCCTGTGAGGATTAAGCCAAAACCGGCTCTCTGATATCCCCCGAGGGGCCCCAGAGGGGGAGTAGGCACACTGCAAAGTTGCTATCACTCCACAGCTCCTGTGTTGAGCATCTGCCCCATGGTGGTCAGTGCACATCATACCTACTGTCCGATTGGCCAGTCGGCTGGTCACTTAGCCCTTTATATATAGGTATATGTAACAACCCCAACAATTCGTTTTGATAGTTACCAATTTGTGTGATTTTCTGTTTTTAAAAAGGCTGAAGGAAGAAGAATAAATGTATAGGACTTCCTATCTAATAAAAGAGAAACATGGTAATTAGCATACATCCACTACCCTTCCCATTGGCTAATCAGTGAGATATGCAAATTAACTGCCAGCCAAGATGGCGGCCAGAAGCCAGGCAGCTTGAAACTAATGTGAGGCTTGCTTGCTTCAGTGACGGAGGAAACCAATGTTCCCCGCCTGCCTTGCCGGCCTCAGAGCCTGCAGTGTGAAACATTGTTACAAATATAGAAGCTAAACAAAACCCCAGAAACCTGCTTTCAGCCCGCTGGGATCTCAGAGCTGGAGTTGATACAGAGTTTCGATTATAGAACCCAAACAAACCAGATACCTGCTTTCAGAAGCGGAGGCCTCAGAGCTGGAGCCAGAGCTAAAGCTGGCCCAGAATAAAAAAAGAAAAAAGAAAAAAAGGAGCCGTTGGGAGCTTCAGTCACCCGCCAGCCTGAAAACAGCCCTCAGCCCCTCACCCAGACTGGCCAGGCACCCCAGTGGGGACCCCCACCCTGATCCAGGACACCCTTCAGGGCAAACCAGCCGGCCCCCACCCGTGCACCAGGCCTCTATCCTATATAGTAAAAGGGTAATATGCCTCCCAGCACCAGGATCAGAGGAGCCGCGAGGCCTCCCAGCACCAGGATCAGCAGAGCTGAGAGGCCTTCCGGCACCAGGATCAGTGTGACAGGGGGCAGCACCCAAACTCCCTGATCGCCCTGCAGCTCTGTGTGTGACAGGGGGCGGGGCCACAACCTCCCTATCGGCCCTGCTCTGTTCGGGACAGTGGAAGGCTCCCCAACCCCCTGATCAGCCCTGCTCTGTGCCTGATAGGGGGGAACTCCCCAACCCCCTGATTGGCCCTGCTCTGTGTGTGACAGGGTGCGGCGCCCCAACCCTCTCCCACCACGGGCCCTGTTCTGTGTGTGACGGGGTAGAGCCATAACCTCACCATCGGCCCTGCCCTGAGTGTGAGAGT